TATATATATATATATATATATATATATATATATATATATATAATAAATAATATATATAGGGTTAGGGTTAGAGTTAGGGTTAGTCAGAAAAAGCTAAACGAGCCAGGTCAAACAGAGGTCAGGCGGACATAGACCCTACGAGCGCTACTAAAATTTTTCGAAATTTTGTCCCCCTCTCTCAACCCCTCTCTATAGGAATATTTTCTCACGCCACTACCCCGCCCGCCATGGCCCCGCCGGCCCCACCCGAACCCCATTTCATTATGATTATATTTCTAAGCAACCCCCCCTCCCCCCGTGTTCTTAGCATTTTCTGAAATTTTGCAGACTCACCCAATGGAAATATTTGCCGCGCCTGCCTCCTCGCCCGATCTCTATTTTACGCTGACGCGCATGCCTTGTGTTTTGCAGGCGGCGCGGCGCGCGCGGGAGGCATGCAGGTTGGCGCTCCCGCCACCTCCGCGACGGCGGCGTTTACCGAGTGTCCTGGTGTGCAACTGGCGCCCCCTACTGAGCCGGACCCGCCACCGCAGCCGCAGTCGTCCAATCAGGTCGCGGCGCAAGAACGCGTCGCCGCTGACGACGACGACGACGACGACTGCACGCCGACGCACGTCGAGGTGTCGAAGGTCGCGGGGTCAAAGGTCGCGGAGTCTGCGGCGCCGGCGGCGGACGCGCTTCTCGCGAGCCTGACCAATCCGAGCAACTTCACGCTGGAGGAGCCGTCGCCACGGAAACACAAGTTCACGCGCGCGGACTTCGAGACCGGCGGCGGCGGGGGCGGGGCCGCCGCCATGACGGCTCGCGACGCAGACTCCGGAGATCCCCTCGACCAACTGGATCCGCTGTGGACGATAAAACCGAGGAAGTGAGACAGCTGTTACAATCAAACGCCCACACACTCCACCCTCCTACGTTACTAGTATAGTATTTGAATAATTTCATCGGATCTCTATAGGTCACATGCTAATAAAGTTTATCTACGTTAGATCCAAGTTAAATTAGTTTAATTTTTAACTTAATTTGGATCTAACTGAGATAAACTTTATTAGCAGTATAGTATTGCCTGACATTCCCTATGATGGGGGGAGTTACTGCCATAATGGTGTGTAAGTTGAATCCGCACAAGTGTGCTATTAATTGGGAGTGAGAGTGAGAGAGCGCGCACGAGAGAGAGAGAGAGAGAGAGAGAGAGAGAGAGAGAGAGAGAGAGAGAGAGAGAGAGAGAGAGAGAGAGAGAGAGAGAGAAGAAGAGAGAGAGAGAGAGAGAGAGAGAGAGAGAGAGAGAGAGAGAGAGAGAGAGAGAGCGAGAGAGAGAGAGAGAGAGCGAGAGAGGAGAAGAGAGAGAGAGAGAGAGAGAGAGCGAGAGAGGGGGGGGGGTGTATT